AACCGAACATCCAAACAACTAACCGAACATCCAAACAATCATCCGTCTGTCCTTCTGTACACCCGACCAACCCCCCTCTAAAGCTCGGGTGTCAGACTCTTGAAAATGTGTCCCTGTTGCAACACACCTGACTAAAATTAAAAGGTCATTAGACGAATTAACTTAACTGCATGCTGAGGTGGCAGTTCAGCCTTTTGATTCATGTTACAGCAGCTGATGAGTGAGGAACACGGTGCAATAAAAGAACTTTTAGAAGTACATTTTTCAAACACTTATATTTATTTACATTTACTTCAGTAGGGTTAGGGGTCGCCAACTCAGCATGCAGTCTAGTTCATTAGAGTCTTGCGGCCTGGAGTTTGACTCCCCTGCTCTAAACTGTTTCTGAGTTTTGGAAGTTGAACTGCGTCTTTTACTTGGAGTTTCTCCACATTGATGTGCGTCTCCGTTAACATCCCTCTGACCTGTACGTTCGGGTATAAGCCTGTCACAGAGATGTGGAATGCAGTAATCTTTAAAGCTTGTAGTCACTGAGCTGAGTCTAGGTTCAGTGACTGTTGGGGAGCAGTGTGATTCCAGGGTTTGAGTTTCCCCCTCCAACTCTCCACAGTTGGCTGTTATTCCTCCTTACCCTGAAGCTGAAACAGGATCTTTTCCTCTCCTGCTCAGCTGAGCCTTAAATCCAACAGATTTCCTCACATTAAAGCAGTTTGTCACATTTAAGATGAACTCCAAGTGTTTTTGTGTCGCGTGTTTGCGTCACAGGAGGAACTCTGAGAACAGGAACCAGAAATCATTTTGTCCTTCAGTGAAAAAGGATCTGAAAGTCCTGAAGCATGAATCTCCTTTTGTGTTTATGTCGTCAGGGAGCGTCCAGTGAATCGACCGCCCGAGCTGCTCTACCCGCAGGCCGATGTGGCGGAGCGCCTGGCGCTCGGCGGCAGTGACGACACGCTGGCCAACGGCATGAAGCCTGACCTGGAGGCGGCTAAACGTCTCGCCAAACGCCTCTACAACCTGGAGGGCTTCAGGAAGTCTGACGTCGCTCGCCAGCTCAGCAAGAAGTCAGTGTGTGTGTGTGTGTGTGTGT